GTTATCAGGATGATGAGTCAGCGCTATCGAACGAGCTACCGAGGTTATGGAGGCATGTTGGACCACGAGGATGAAATGAGGACCATAAAACTCCGTTGACTATAAGAGTTCAAGAATCCTAATCGACCCTATGGTCAGACTTTTTATGAAGGTTCCAGATAAAAAATATGGTACTCTTCTTATGTTTGTACAGGACATAACCCACCTACATAACCTAACCATGGTATGCAAAAGGGACAAGTGGCAACTTTGGTACTGCCAGCACTAGTCATTCAGTGGCCAAGGAAAGACGGGCAATACAACGGAATTTGTAAAATGAGTATATCAACAACGCTTACGGTTGAACAGCGAAGCATTAATGCGTGCACAGAGGTTTTTAAAGCAGCGGAGGAATCTGCCGTTGTTGCATAAGATTTCCAGTGCCGATAAGATCACATCGACTAGGTACTTGTCAAGTACCTCAAGGATGAGACACCAAGTAAGGAGTAATATTAATAATAATCAATAACAAGGATCAGTGGTGCTGATCAACATCAATGAGGTGCTGTACAAAACCTCCAAAGTTCTCCAACTTACTCAAGTACCTGGTCCCGTCAACTAGTAGACCAATGAGCAGCCAAACTGACACCATGTCTCATAGGCACCAAGCACACAACGAATGAACCGCGGAAGAAGGGAAGTTTTGCCTGACCTGCGAGTTGGATCTTCCTATCGCTAATACGAGAATGTCCGTCGCCTCGCTGAGCTACTCTACGCTTTTTTACCAGGAGATAAGATAAAAAGGATAAAGCTCTCGGCGCTGACCAACCCCCGAGGGATACTCCATGCATTCGACTTCATTAAGCACCGTTCGGCGGTGATTGAATGCATATCTGGCCTTTACTCGTGATGGCCTACCGATGTGTCGAGCCAGTGCTCCTATTCTCCCAGACAAGTCTCGTACCAATTTACCAACTCCGGAGGGATGGAAGGCTTGGTGGGCCATGGACGCGGGGTCGATTCCACGTATGTGTTGCAGGGCACCTCCGACCACTGCGTCACACGTGCCCCAGAAGACAGAGTTTGAGACAGTTTGTGGATTTGCTAGTACTGAACACTAGAGAGAGTGTAGAGTGTAGTGTAGCGTAGGGAGTTACTAGAGAGAGTTTTAACTTATTATTTACTGCTTGCTCTTTTTAACGGCATGGTATAATATTGCGAAATGTAACTTTAATGATGCTGAGATATTTGCAAAACTCCGGACCGCAGGTGTTTGCGGTGGGGAACGAACGCGTTATTGTCCTTTCCGGGGAGTAACGCGTTAACCACCACACCATGCGGACCCTTCGTTTCGCCTGTCTCTCAGCTGGTTCTATCGATCGATATATCGATATCGACTAGAGAGAATAGTACATATCCCAGGTCAAAAGTTCTGCCATAACGTTCAGAAAATGACGCTTTGATACAAAGAATTTACCGAAGAAGGTGTTCCCACCAATAGAACGTTTCTCATTCATTAATGTAACAATCTGCCCAAGAACATTAGCAAAGAAGAATTTGTGTTTTCTCATGGTTACTATGGTAATTACTGTTTCTCCATGGCAACCCAAGAGCTTTTTGGCTGATCGCAAAGGGGATTTTCTCTCCGTAGATTTCCATAAAGGTGGCTGGTAGAGAGGCATGCTACGTGGGCTGACGAGAATCTCGAATACTGTGAACTCCTCCAACACGAATTCCTCGGTTTCCGTGGCTCCGCGCTTCCTGGGCGCCGTCCACGAAGACATCGATATCCCGGCACTCGATGACGGCGTTCCTTACAACGGGTGACGTCACCGCGCTTCCTCCGTTACCAGTTGGTTTTGCGTCCCGCCTCCGGCCCGCATTCCGTCGGGCACGCCGGCTGTGTGGGCAGGCGGTGCAGGCGCTGCGCACGGTGCCTCAGTCGGGTGTTTCCTGTTGGTGAGAAAGTAGTGGGCTGACTTGTTCACTTTTTAGCGACCTTTGTTACGGTTAGTTTCTTGTGTACAGCAAAAAATGTCCACAAGAACCATTCTGCTCCGTAATTAATGAGAAAATCCTTGTAGTTTTTTCTAAACGATAGGACACGTCTCTAGCAGTCGTCGTACTGACACTGGCTGTAAAACTGCGAAGGATTCACCCCACTCGACCGCCCTCTTGTTCACCTTGAGACAATTTTCTTTGGTCGAACCGGTCATCTATTTTTGTATGGCGTTATTATCGTTATTTTCTGTAAACTAAGCCATCATTCTCCAATTCATAAACGCATCAATCTCTTCTATTAACAAGTTTATTGTATTCCCAACTGCCGTTCGTCCGTTAGTGTTCTTTTTTTCTTTTCGAAACAACGCGCTATCGATTGCTGAGAGCTCGTTGCTTTGAAGAAGAAGAAATGTTCGAATGTGTTTTGACGGAGACAGGATCTCACTGGCGCTCCCGAATCCGTAGCCGAACTTCTGTTCTGTTCTAATTTAGGCGTACATCGCTAACTGAAACCCTTGGTGCTGTGGGCATCGGTGAAGGCTCGTCCTCTCATCTGCCTCAGTTGGCCTCGGTAAGTCCAACCGTTACGAACGTTTGTCATAAGCATGGTTCACGCTATTTGTAGTCGTTACAAGTTTCTTAATCTCATATTGTTGTCTAAAGCTGGCAGGGATATAGTTGAGGTTCTTCCTGAACTGTGTTCTAGTGACCCCACGAAATGTAGAGTAGAGATCATTGTGTGTGAGAAAAATTTGCCACCGATACGAAGTCAGTGTAGACAGAAGTTTATCACAGGGACAGCCGTCCAACTATCACCAATGACTTGATAGTCAAGTCATCCGTTGTCGGTACATTTGTGGACAGTTTTTTGTATGTTATGATTGTTTCTGATGGAGCGTTCTGGTTCATGCTGGTGGAGCTCTGCTTGAAAACTGACTCTTGATAAATTGGTTACTAAAATTACAATAGACCACTTGAATACAGGCCAATACAGAAGGGACTTCCAAGCTTTGAAAGAACACACACGGTTCATGTACGAGAAGCTATTGAATCGCCGTTTTAATGAGTTCAATTGGTGCTATTTTAGCAGATTATGTGAGACGTTTTTTCAAGAATGTCATTTTCTGTGCATGTGTACATGTATATACATGTGTATACGTATATATACATTATATATGCATGTATGTATACATAGTATGTCCATGTATGTCTCGGATGTCGTTCAGTTAATGGATGATTAATCTGGCGGGCAGTAGGACGGTATGGTGTGGTGTGTGGAAATATTGGTGACGGTAAAGAGATAGGCGAATCTATCATCGATGTTTTTAATGTCAACACATTGGCGCAAAGGGCATGTGTGCTTTATCAAACGGCTTCAGTTCACAACATGCCCTTGATATCTGTGGATCACGCGAGGTCAGGTGAAAACGGACCTGCGCGGCCGGGACCTGGTGCCGTTTCTAACAACCAGAGCCGAAGGGGTAGTAATCTGCTCACGAAAAGTCTAGACTATACGTCCGTGTTGATTACCTTGAGCCCGCAAACAAAGGTGTTAATGTGCTCAGCCGCTTTTCTGTTGTTCTTATCGCGAATTGCCAAAGGCTTACTACGTTACACAGTAAATCTTATGGTGATATCAGTTGTATTGATAACATTAGAACAGTGTTAAAAGGCTGGACATCATCGCTATATAAATTTATTACAGGTCGTCTCTGCCAAAATCCCAGTGGATATTGCACGTACGATCAGTCTTTACTTTTTTCTTTCTTACTTAAGGAAAAATCTCCAGCGTTATTCTCTGCCCGTTGACAGCGACCAGAGAAATCGATTTCGCTAGCACTCAAGAGGTAAATAATTTCTTGGTTTGAAGATATGCCGTGGTTTACAGTATGTGGGCAGTGTTAGTCGAGAGATATAATTTACACGTATAGAACAATTTCAATTCCATCTCATTACTTGTAAGTTGTGTGCCTGTGATTGGTCGGAATCACTCACGAAGGTGCTAATTTCCCAAGAACAGAAAATGGACACAGACTACCTATTGGGCTACGATAGGCTCTAGTCGACACTTAGTCCAGCTTGTAGTTTCTAGTATGAGAAGATAACCTGAGCGTGCAGTAAGCACAGAGAGAGAAGGACATCGCACTTTATCGTTCTTTGCTGTCTTCTGCACGTTAGTAACAGACTATGTTTCCTAAGCCGAACTGTTTATGTTTACGATAACATTCGCTTACATTATTTGTGCTAGGCACAAGGGCTACTGCTAAGTTGTATGCATGAAGTCGCCGATAAGACGTTATAACTAACATTAGAAACGACAAACAACAGCAAATTCTGAACTTTATTCAAAGGCCAATGTGAATGGGCCATCTTCGTACGTATTCTGTTTTTCATGTGGAAAAGCAACCACTATCCTTCCTAAATAGTGTTCTTTCAGGATTGTATGGGTCCAGACATTGAGACCCTCATCCTCGTTCTATATCGTCGTCCTCCTTAGCGGGTCCGTGCTCTGTTTATTGTAACTTCGTTCTCGAAGCGAGTGATCCTTTTTTCATCGTTTGCTTTCGAATACTTTCAGGAGAACTAGTGAAGAAGGCCAAGGTAGGCTGGAGATGAGATTTTTCGTTTTCGTAATTATCTCATAAGATGAAATCTTGTTACTGTTACCAATGTTCAGATGTGCACGAAAGTCGAGTCATGTGTTGTTCAAACTAGACATTTTGGAGAGAAAACGCAGGTTGAAGAGTACTTCTTTGAAGGTGGTAACGTCAACATTCTTGTATTGGTTTTTCGTACTTATTATGTTGTTTTGGTGCGTTAATGAGCTTTTATAGTCATATACATAATTGGGCAGTTATCCATCAACTAGACATTCGAAGTCTGGTGCGCAAGAAGCTTGCTCTAAAAGTACTCTGTGGTATTGATACGAGGAAACTTACTTTTGAGAAAATTAATATCGTGATCAAAAACTGCCAATGAGCTCTTATCTTCTTGGAATATAAAGTTGGGAAAGTTTGGTAATGACTACCTCAGCGAGCCAATCATGGTTTTCAGGTGCAGAAAAGTTGTTGGAACTTTGGTTCAACAGTAGAAGTGATAGAAATGGTTCGCTTCGTCTTATTCCTAGATATGAGTTGGACACTATGCTGAACATGGCTAAATGCAAAATCCTTCACTCAGCTCATACCGAATACATTGACAGTTATGTGCTGAGGTAAGTCACTGGTCTAAAAGACGCAAGTGTAGTTCTTTTTCTCACCCTCGATCTCTTTCCAGTGAAAGCAGCTTGTTTATTACGGAACGCCGTCTCATTCTAAAAACTTGTGGTTCGACTCGCCTTCTTGCCGCCTTGCCAAGGATCATACAGCTCGCTGCAGTTTATGGACACCTTGATCAGGTGTGGTCGATTTCGTCGATCTCACCGCACAGTTTACAATCTTTTTATTTAACGGAATCATTTTCATATTTCGAAACCGAACTCGTATTGATTTAATGCTTACCTTAATTAAACATTTGTGTAGAATTTTCGGTTGTAGTTTTTGCGAACGGTATGATAGTTTTAATATCAGTTGTTATGATGTTGAAAATAAGATCATCAAGTGATTCGAGCTGGTCTCCGTTCGTAACTCTCGCGCGCCAGAATTGCTCAGTGGGATTCCGCTTTTTCGATAAACGCAGAGAGAGTATTGTCCGTGGTATTAGGTTCTTGATTCTTACTAGATTTTTTAGAGTAAAAGATAGCGCTGGTAGCACTGACGCTCTGCAGTGGAGCAGGTTTACTTTTAGCATAGCTTCCAGATGGAAATACCTGGCTTCTCATTCTGTTTGACCCCACTACGGAAATGGAACGCCGCTGCTCACCACAGTTCCACGTCTAAAAACACCTTTCAGCCCCACTAAGGCGCAAAACCATTGAAAAATTTCGTACCATAAATGATGTTTACTTGCACGTTCAGGTAGTATCGGTGTACTACTCTCGTAAAAATTTCCTGCGTCCCGAACTGCAGCCTGAAGAACATCGTTCCTTCGATGCCGAAGTTGACTATCTTGACAGCTTCTTCCATAGTATGTTTGCAATGACTGTTGCACCATTTTTTTTTTGTTTTACACAGAGGAAGCTATACTGTTACTGTACTGTGCTACTGTACCGTTTAGCGATTGTATGATACACCTCATATAATATGACCATATAGACAGTGCAAAAATTATGATTCAGGTAATCGAAACAGTGCCATATTTCGTAGATACCGTAGTTTGGGGGGTAAAACGCATGTCGAAAAAGATATTATTGCCTTTGTCAGCAGTTTTGGTCCTCACTTTCCTTGAGTTTTTAAGATTTCCTCTTTCAGATGGACATGCCTACTGCATGGGGTCTCTAAAACAGGATCGTTGGTATCTTTATACGTACCATATTCCGCAGCCTGTCAACAAAGTTGCGGTAAGTTAAAAGAGCATGTTTGGTCCTTATCCAAAACACCGATTTCATAAATGAAAAAGGAACTATTTAAGATAGAAAGATATGTGCTCCAGGTTTAGATGATTCAGAGGAAAGATTTAAGCGTTATATACTATTTTCGCATCTCTATTGTGGGAAAGTATTGTTAAAAATCTGTAGGCCTTGATATTATAGGACCATACGTTGGAGATACTCATGACGGATCTAAGCGAAGACATTCTTCATTTCTTCACAAAGGATGCTTGCGAAAATGCAAAAGATTGCACGGAGGTAAGCTCACATAGTCTTAGTTCTATTCCCTAAGAGACGCGATTAGTGATATAACTAATGTTCACCATTAAGTAATCGTTAATGTGACGAAAGATGGGGTAGAATAGAAGTTACTTCATAATTAGTACTTGTATCACTCTCCTTTGCAAAATCTCCTGCGTGCACCAACACAGTTTCCATTTAATCAGTGTAATGCTTCTTGGGCAAATTTTTTCTCATGCATTGCCGAGATGAGTATTCTAGGCATTGAAATACAATTAATTCATCTAAAATTATTTTATAAAAGCATTTTGCAATAAAACAGTTACTATCGGACTTCAGAACATTATAACCCATGATTTTTACCAACAATAAACATATCTGATTAAGCCCTTTATCACAAATTCATGAAATAGTGGTTTTTTAAAGACGTATAGAGCAAAAGCTTAGGTGCACCAAATTCCCCATATCACCAATTTCGAAGTTCTATATGGTTTTCTTAACATATAAGGAAGAGAGTCATAACGGGACTCGTGTGCTTTCAGTTTGTGCAGTAAAGGAATTTTAACACTTTCTTTGTCTATGGGACCTTAGCTAACGGAGATATCTGCCTCCTTCACCAGCAGAACAATCTCATTGAGAGACTCTATAGAACACAAAAGTTTTTTTTCTTTTACAAATTATGTGTATGCACCGCCTTTTCTCGTTAACGTTCTACTACTGCATCATTTTTTGCGGGAACCGTTGATTGAATACAATGAGTATAGTAAAGGAAAAAACCCGTCCAGAAGGAGAAACAGTCGGAATTGGTTGCGTATGGCCACTGGCGGACAAAGTGCTAAGCCGCGCATGAGTCACATATGAGTCTTATGGGTAGGGATGCAATAATTAGTGTTGAGATCGGTTATCGTGAGTTAATACCAATTCGTTCTCTTTTCGATCGTTTATTTTGCTGCACAAATGTTTTTGCACACAATCGACAAGCTTATCTAAACGCAAACCACTGTACTGCTGTCAGAGCTTGAAAAATATTCTCTAAATTTAACGATTTAGAATAAAATTGTTGGACGAGTTTGCCATCAGGCGAAAATTGTAGAGTGAAAGGTACAAAAACAAGGCGGCAACGAGGGTATTTGCTGGAGGGCGGGGCGCTTTGGTCGGCCCGAAACGCCTAGACTTCATTCATCGCGCCAACAGACGAACATTAGCCGTCGTTCTATGTGCGTTGAGCACAAAATTAGACCTTGTCTTTAATGTTTCGAAATCACATACAGAAGTCCTCTTTAGGATTCGCAACCAAACTGCACTAATGAACCAAGTACTGGACAACAAACTGCGACCACTATTGTAGAATTACGAGCTATAGAATAACGCCTTGTCAATGTGGCCTAGTAAGATTGTATTCCACAATACGTGTGAAGGTTTTAACACATTGTGACGATATGGCTTTACTTCAGCGCGTATATACTCTCCGATGATAGCTTAATATTTCGGATTTAAACGTTTTCAGTTCAGTTCATAGTGGGCTTAGTCACTGAATCTAAAACCATTGTAATCTGCTCGTCTTTGTTCACGAGATATAAATTTTATTATCTAAGCACCCCGAGTTTTTTTTGGAGTCTGAAAATCTTTTTCATTTTTCGTCGGTGATCATACCTCGAGCAGTGAAACAGTTGAACAATTGGTGTTCTGTCCAATACAGTGTGATGGTATAACGAAATTGTGTGTAATTTTGCTGCAAAGCTTTTAAATTTCACATATTAGACCACTACTTTTTAAAATTTCGTTTTGCAAACTTGTTTTTCGTAGGAACCAGTCCCACATGTGCAGCGATGGCAGGTTCTTCTATAATTTTCTCAATTCTCCTTCAGTTCTTGCCAATCCCTTAAGTACTCTGTTTATTAAAGACGTATCGTCGGTTATGGATAAACCATGAAACTTGTGTATTTAGCGATCGGGTATTGACCACATCGTTCCTAATGGAACACTTATTCACGAAGAGCTTTTCGACCCATGTGGATATAGCATGAATGCTTTTCTTCCAAACTCTGTGAGTATTTTTTTCTGCACCATTCAATTTTCTGCCCTTTGTCCAATCTGTCTGTGGCTGTGCTATTTACTCTAGGACCACTATGCGACTATCCACGTCACACCAGAAAAGGAATTCTCATTTGCTTCATTCGAAACCAACCAAGACCTCATTTGTCTATACAGACAGACGAAACAAGTTGTCAAATGCTTCCGGTTTGTTTGAGTTCCTTCTCTAAAAGCTGTGCTTTCACTTGTTGTTTTTAGTCCTGGCAAGCTGTTAATGACGGTTTTCTCCAACGACGGTTCTGTGAGGGGACGTGAGGCTCAGCAACAACTTTGGGACCGTGAGCTTCCAGGTTATAAACGCACAAACATCCAGTTTGTTAGACTGGAGGTTTGTTTAGTATGTTATTTTCATACCATGTGTAAAATCTTATTAAAAATGCCGTCGTTCTTACTTAATTAGTGCATGAATCGAAATGCAAGCACAATATGTTTCTTGAGTCATCCAGCACTACATATTGAACGGAACCCAGCACTTTTTCATTCAGTCTGTCTTCTCATATCAGCCATCCGTGAAAGTCTTCAGATTTTCGTGTGCATTCGGCTACTGCTTGAGGATTTTTGATCTTCTTCATGAATGTCGTTGATTTATGGTGGAGGTTCCACTGGGAACCTGCGTTAGCCTTGCTTAGGTGTAGTACCAATTCCTGTCATAGGGTTTTCTGCGAGACTGCCGGATGCTTACGTACATACAGCATGTCGTTCATGTGGTAGTTGTTTACCCATTCTTACAACTGCTTTAGTGCCGTGTCATAACAGTAGAAAGTTCATAGCATTGGAAGTATTGATGAAATCGTGAGAACTCTAAGGATTGATGCTGGTCGCCTAGTGATTGGGGACGATGATTTTTGCACAAACTATTTGCAGGCTTACGGATTGCAGTGTCATTGGAGATTGGAGCGAAGGGACATCTTCCTATTTCATATGGATTTGCTGAAATTTCTGCACGCAGTTCTAAAAGTTTTAAACATTTTTACGAATGGGAAAGCAAGCCATTTCTAAAGAAACCAACGATAATGTTTGAGAGAGACAATTTTCATGAATAAACACACCCATTTTGTGGTTGGTGATGTACTCATCGACGCCATTCGTTTCACTTATAAAGTGCTAAACAGTGGAAAGGGAAACGATGAAAGACGTGTCTTGTTATGCCGTACTAGCTGCAATGTGTTGACTATAAAAGCTTAAAAAAAGCTCTCGGCGTTGATCAGTCCCTGAGAGTTGCGCCATGCATTCGACTTCATTTAAGCATCGTTTGGAGATGGTTGAATGTGTATCCGGTCTGTTGTCGTATATCATAGACTAGACGTTAAACACTAGTGAGCACGTAGTTTTATTCGATTGATGTTTACTTTAGCTGTTTACTTTTTATCAACTTATGTTTTAGTTAGTCTTTTTCATTACGTTAGTGTAAGCTTTCTGTTCTTCGTTCTTTTTAAGAACAACTTCCCTAATGGCACAATGACTCGCGATGGCCTACCGATGTATCGACTCAGTGCTGCTGTCCTCCCAGACAAGTCTGGTACCAATTTGCCGACCCCGAAGGGATGGAGAGCCTGTTGAACCTAGGGCGCGGGAATCGATCACATGTGTAGTACAGAGCGCCTCCGACCACTGCGCCACACGTGCCCTAGTCCGCTTATATCAGAAAAAATACATGGTTGCTTGTAGACCGCATTAACAATGTCTGTAGCACCTTAACTAGACAGGTTGAAACTACCATAGGTAAACAGAAATCTTAACAGAAACGGATATTATCGACTTGACACTGTATAAAGATGATTGGATTTTTTTTAGGTTGAGACTCTAGTGTATGCACATTTTGTTAGAAAGGATGGCACAGAGTCATCGAGTGATGAAGACGATGGGGTACTCAGCGAATAAGGATTCGTTACTAACGCCAACTTCCTTGCTGTTCTGACTCACCATCTCCTACCCAAGTACTGCTTCTGTTGTCGTATATCATAGACTAGACGTTAAACACTAGTGAGCACGTAGTTTTATTCGATTGATGTTTACTTTAGCTGTTTACTTTTTATCAACTTATGTTTTAGTTAGTCTTTTTCATTACGTTAGTGTAAGCTTTCTGTTCTTCGTTCTTTTTAAGAACAACTTCCCTAACTTTGTAGTTTGTTGTGTAGCACAAAATGCAATATTTTATCTTCAATAAACAGTTCGTCGTATTTGTGTTTTCCGAGAAATCACCTTGTCCAATATCGAAATCGAAGTTTCTATCTACGATTTTCGAATAAAACCGCCAATCCCTTTGAACAAGTGATGAGCGAGCTCGTACAGATCCGATGAAAAGATGTCGACCAAGACTGTGATGGTCATGTGGTAACTTACAATTTTGGAGGTCCTGTTAATGTTTGACGTGAGGAACTTCCGTCGGATAGCATGAATAGGAAAAACAAGGCCATATCATAGTAATCCAGTGCTGATCCTAGTCGATGTCGTTGTTATTGTAAATTCGTACTAAAAGAGGTCATAGCATTTTTTGAAGGAGGTTTCTTTTCTCGCAGAAAGGGATGGAGGCGGCAAGGTTCCAGAAACGAGACCACAAACTCCGTATTTGGGAAAGGTATGACCACATCGATTGTGATATAGCAGATCATAGCACCTAACCCAAGTAACATATAGCAGATGGTAATGCTCGTCCTGTGCGTTGCACTTACATCTGTGATATCACTATATCGATAAGGATATGGCACGTTAGAGTACTCTCGTGGTAGTAGGTAAACAAGCTAGAGCTTCGATGTCACCAGGTTTTGGATAGCCGGGATTCTATGGAAGTTATTCACCGTCGATAATAACTTCACATCGAAAATTTTACTATTCTACAGCGACATCGCCACTGATTGGTATTAATGATTGCTGATGGACAAGGACCGAGTGGGTCACGGGGTCAAGTGCACAGCAGGACCGCCCGAACGACCGTCAAATTTTTTCACGAAAATACTGGGAGAAGTGGCACCCTTAGAGTTGTTAGAACGACTAGAAACTATTGGACTATTCTTATTCTAGCAGACTACAGAGTCAAATCGAGCATCTGTTGACTGTTAGCGTTACTCTACGTTCAACGGGAGGACGGATTGAACTGATGATTCACCGAAATCTATTTGTGATGGTCTGAGTCCATATTTTTGAGTGGATACTTACTTGGATACTTGGATGGCTCGTCTTCACTGGTTGTGCGGACCCCAGCATAACTTCTATTTTTTCGGAGTTTTGCAGGTTTAGCTCTTGTGGTTCCCTGGAGTCCCAAGGTTAGCCTAACGAAAATCTGCCCCAGGTCGTCACCACCACACCACATGCAGTCGCCGCCCTTGTGGATCAGAGGGAGATTTACCAGCACGCGACAAGTTTGATACCAGGACGGTGGTGGATCCTGCTATTGGTTTACTCTTAGCTAGGCTTCCTAATGGAAACGCCGGACTCCTCAGCTTGGGAGACTCTTCCAGGTGGATAAATCCCCCGCTGTACACCACAGCTCGATACCCAGGAACATCTCCCAGTCGCGATGAAACGGTAAACTATTGGGAGTTGTTTTCTGCTACGGTACCCATTTTTAACCCGTGCAAGTACTATAAAGGGGGTCACTTACATTTACCGATAGATGGAGTTCAGTTTTATTGAAAATCGTAGTGTTACCTGGCCGAGTTACGAGACAGCCTAGGGCAATCTCCAGCTTCTTCTGCTGGCCCGGTGGCGAAAGAAAAACGGGCTTTGGTAGGTGAACAGCATGTTTTTCCTCTATTTTCTCTAACGATCATTTATTTTAGGGCCAACAGAACTCTCTTTCGTTAATGCTGCATCTGTTCGGTTTAACGGGATCATTCGTGACTGCGACGCTGGTTCTCTTCATTATTTTGCGCTTTGCACCTCCTTCAAGCAATACAATGGAACTGGCCTTTCCATCAAATTTCGATGAACTTCGGAAACTGGCTGACTTACTCCAAAATTACAAGTAAGAGACGCGGTGGATATCCCTCTTTAGGTAGATCTACTATCGATTAATATGCATGGAAAAATAATTGAAGCATTCTAGTAAGGAACTTTCGGGACATTTGAAATTTCTATGGAATCCTATTCTTGTTATGGACAAGATACTTTGGCATATAAGGGTTATACTATCAGGATTTGTCAGTCTCCAAAGGTGCATGTGGCGCAGTGGTCGCCGCCGTGCAACACACATGCGGGATCGATTCTCGCGCCTATGGCTCACCAAGCCTTCCCTCTAAGATTGGCAAATTGGTCCCAAACTTGTCTGCGAGGATAGCAGCACTGGTTCGATACATCTGTAGGCCACCGCGACTCATTGTAAAGGTCATGTAAGCATTCAACCACTTCCAACGGTGCTTAATGAAGTCGAATGCATGGCGCATCCTCAGGGATTGATCAACGCCGAGAGCTTTATCCTTTATCCTTTTATACATGGTCTCCTCCTGTCTTCTAGCTGTACTATGAGTATAGTTGTTACCCTAACGATAACGTAAAGTCGTCTGTGAAATAGCTGTTGATGGGTTTTACGATTCCTTATTTTGGAGGATGAATAGCTCCTTGTTTGACTTTTGTGACGTTTAGTACACTGATCCTTGCAGGAACAATCACTTATCGTACACAGTTTTCCTCTTTGGTTATGCTTATATCTACAAACAGACATTTGCGATACCAGGATCGTTTTTCTTGGTAAGTATAGAATCTCACTATGATGAATTCTTGCTTCCATAAATCTGCCACGTTTGTTCGCATGTTCGAGTACATTCCAGAATCTTCTTGCTGGAGCACTTTTCGGCGTGTTTGTTGGTTCTATTCTCGTCTGCATATTGAATCCTATTGGTGCATCAGGATGCTTTCTATTATCTGCAGTTTTTATGCAACCAATCATAGATCGATTCTTCTTGCATCGACTGCTGACCCTTCGGAGAAAGGTACATGAATACGACAGCACTCAAGTCTCTGCATAACCGTATTGTTTTCAGGTCGCATCGGAACGAGAGCGCTTGTTTCTGTTCCTGGTTGGCACACGAGTCCTTCCTTTTTGTCCCCACTGGCTTCTGAATATCTGTTCGCCATTCATGGGTGTGTCCTTGCTCATGCACGCAACTACGATCCTACTAGGCGAGTTTCGCGTGTAGCATGACACATGTATTCCTGTTAGCGAGTACATTCTTCTGGCCATATGCCTAATGGGCGAGTGGCGCAGTGGTCAGAGGCGCTTTGCAAAGCACACGTGGAATCGATCCCGACGCCCGTGGCTCACCAAGTCTTCCTTCCCTCCGGGTTCGGCAAATAATTGGTACCAGACTTGTTTGGGTAGATAGCAGCACTGGCTCGATATATCGATAGGCCACCGCGAGTTATTGTAAAGACCAGATATGCATTCAATCACCCTCAACGATACTCAATGAAGTCGAATGCATGGCGCATCCCTCAAGGATTGATCGACTCCGAGCGTTCTATCTTTTTATCCCTTTTACGCCAATACATTTTTCAAGATGACATGTCTCCGAATTCTCAGGGAACTTTGTTTTCTTAGCAGAGAGTTCAAATTTTGGGATGCGGTGTTGTAACGCGTCCTGCATGGAGTATCAGAAAACCGGATAGTACTTTTGCTTTCTTATTAAAGTGGTCAATTGAAGAGACGGTTACATACTCTATCTTTACTTTTGACCCGAAGTGTGCTTTTATTTTCAGATTCATATTGCTACATTTAATCTTATATCAGTCAGTTCTGTTAGGTTGTTGATATGAATCGTAGTGAAGTGAGTTGTGGTGTTATCACGAGTCAGTTTGCTTTGTTCTAGGTCTGATTCCTTACAATGTGTTATGTGTTCGAGCTGGTCGTTTGTTAGTTGATCTGAACACGATTCATGACGTCTTGGATCTGCAGACAATCGCCGAACTGCTAGCAGTGGCGATTTTGCTAATCTCCATTGGATTTTTCTCAAAACGACGACAAAATAATGATGACGAATTGCAGTCCTCGTCTACTAAGTCATGAAAAAAAGGCATTGATCGTGGAGGTACAGTTAAAAATCGAGTAATCGTAGAAGACTGGAATTGGCTAAATGCTATTTTCACATGCATGTTCACGAGTGCGGCAATGGGTAGGACTCATTTTATAGCGCCTTCCTAGAACGTAGAGCATTTCCATACATTTATCTTCATTGTTTTATATGTTGCTTTTCGTTTAGTTTCGTGATTTTGTGTGTGATTTGCATTGTTTCGTAGATCTTACGGGTTTCGATGAAGTTTGTTTATTAAAATTGTCGGAATTACGAACCTGAGTACCACATGGTCGTACATGGTAAGATATGTACATGTGCCATTGTGTAAAAATTTGGATAGCGTCATGTTATATGGGAATGAAGTCAAGATCCGACCTGAGCTACTCGTGTTTGGACTCTTCGCTGATAGAGTCAGTATGGAAGTCGTTCACTTTCCCACGAATGCTTCTTAAGTTCCGAGAACTATAATAGTAATAGTTTGCTTTCTACCCATTATTTGCTATCTGTTATAAAGGTCTTACTTTGCTAGAAGTTTGCACTGGTTCAATTTTGCCCATGGGGATCTCCTTTACTAAAAATCACTTCTGAAAGTGCCAAATGATAGCGAATGGATTAGGAGAAACTCACCTGACATGCAGTAGACGCCTCTCTTGTTGCTTCTACCGCGTGTCGTTGTCAGGTAGACGAACTGCAAAGCAAACACAGTGTCATTTAAACTAGATCTAGAAACTTCCGTAAGTCCATTTTATGTAGATGTTTTCTTTTTGTGTTCAAAGATAGTGTGCTCTTCTTAAGAATGCCATTAGCCCCACTTTTAGTGCAATATATGTTGGTCTGCCAGTCCCGTAGTTTTCAATAAACCATTTTGGACCGAATACGGAATAGAGAGCCATTATTCTCTTGTGTTGCTCTCTACTTTCACTCTATTTTTGTATGAAACAAATCCTTGGACCTCCTAAGCTGAGAGGAAGTCAGGGTTTTCCATCAGGAAGCGTAGCTAAGGCTAAACGAATACCAGGATCGATCAATATCCTGGTATCAAACTAGTGGCGTGGTGGCAAATCTCTCTGCGATGTACAGCAGGAGGATTTATCCACTTGGCAGGGTCTCCTAAGCTGAGGAGTCTGGCGTTTCCATTAGGAAGCCTAGCTAAGAGTAAACCAATAGCAGGATCCACCACCGTCCTGGTATCAAAGTCGCATGGTGGTAAATCTCCCTTTGATCCACAAGAGCTGCGACTGCCTGTGGTGGGGACGACCTGGGGCGGGCTTTGGCTCGGCTAACCTCGGAACTACTGAGAAACAATAGTTAAACCAGCAAAACTCCGAAAATTGGTGATTATGCTGGGGCCCGTACATCCAGTGATGATGGGTCCTCCAAGTATCCGAGTAAGTTAATACTAAAACTATGATTTCAACCCTAGTAATTAGTTCAAAACTGGAAGTTGCTCTTTGGAGGAAATTAGAAGCTTTTTCTATATCCAGATAGGAACCAAGCATATAAGAATACCGTGTAGATGCCTTCGGCCTTGATTCGGGTGTTTATCGCTTGACATCCAATCCTCAGACATTCTTCTGTGGCTGCCATAATGGATGGTCCTTCTGACATGCTCACCATTACGCCTGAACATTCCTGAAGAAGTGACCATGATGAGGTAAAGCCGTGTAATCACTAATGCTTTGGATGTACCTGGTTGTAGTACGTGATAAACAGTGGCTTTGCTTCAAGAGACTTGTAATTTTCTATGTACTCATCTCCTTCAGATATGACATTACTGCTTGTCACCTGAATTTTAAGCATAATGTTCTGGAACTACGTTCGCACGGACAGTTGTTCTGGCAGTTTATTCCAAACCGCTTGTCGGGCAAAGATAGCTTTCATGCAATTTTGATGCACAGATAAAGGGCTGAAGAAATGAGGGTTACGGTGATCTAAAAATCCGTAAAGATAGTTCGGATTTAACTGACTGACCCTGGGGTGAGGAAGGGCTTGGGTGGCATAGAATAGAGATCGAGCTGGCGTTTGTCTGCGGATGTGTTGTGCCTCATTCCATTGCGTTACGTTACGTTCCACTCCTGTTATGGAATTTCTGCGTACCTTGACATAGTTTGCACACTTTTGGCTACTACTTCGGATTTTCATCTTTGAGTTAACACTCCTATTATGGTATACCATGTCCGGGTTTCTGCAAACAACTTAATTTGTTTCGGAAGGAAATTACTACCGGCCGATAGAACTAGCTGACAGACAGGCGATACGAAAGACCTGCATGATGTGGTGGTGAATGCGTTAGTCCCCGGAAGGGGTAATAGCGCGTTCGTTCCCCATTGCAGACACCTATGGTTCGGAGTTCTGCAAATTTCTCAGCACCATTGTGGTTGTATTTCGCATAATACCCTGCCATAAAGAATTGTAGTAGGCAGCAAATAAAAAGTTAATATTGTGAGAATTACTAGTTTTAATTATTCGGAAGAAATTATGGCTTCAAAGTTGCATGCTTATTGCGAGTATTATCCACGCATGCATCTCCCATAGAGGGATCCCATGCCGGGGCAATAAGGCGCACCGCAGATGGCGGGTAGGTGGTTAATCGCGGACCAAAAGCGACCTTTGCTTCCCTGAGACGTAGATGCTTCCAGGCAATGGGCTCCAGTTTCTACTGAGCCGATTTGGCACATACTTTCTGTATTCACGAGGACGTATTCATGAATGCGTACATGGTTGTGTTCTCGTCTATGCGGATTGTACTCTTTGAGTCAGTGCGGTCAAAATCCTGCGATCAAGTGACTCGGAAGTGTATGGAAGGCGGTTAGGAGACGCCTCCAACAAATAAACTCGTTGTCTACTGTGGGAAAGGCTGGCAATGTAGCCGTGAGTATACCTAGCCCCACGTCCAGAGCATAGCAAGCTATACGCAGGTGCCAAACGCTAAACACCGTAAAACAAGTGTGCGTCATTCCCTTGACCCTGAGAGAGCCCCTGATTCGACATCATTAGGTAAGACAAGTACGGAAAGGTTGCTGAAATCTCAAACCCATTTTAGACTGCCTAAATTGCAGAGGACTAAAGTGAAGATCTTTGCGTACAATGAACGGTCACTTACATCTGAGTCCTCGATAGAGGACTTGCTCATGCAGTCAAGAAGTCGCCGAGTATCGTAGTATTATAGAGAAAATTAGCGAGATTGCTTGAAGAGGTACGACTTTAACGGATTGGCTGAGACGAGAAGACGTTACTTATTCAACGCCGTCTGTGACACCGGAGAAGAATTGTTCCGCGGAGTATGCGACAGTAGAGAAGCCCGCGGCCCCGGCGTTCTCGTCAACACGAGTCTGATCATAAACATCGATTCATTCGAACAACTAACAATCTGAACCGACGTTTAAGTTTAAAGAGATGTGGATCAATACCGGCTTTGACAGTCTCCGTCGCCTACGCATCGATATCAAACTCTGACGAAAACGAAGTCAAGGTGGTCCATATGGACCGAAGAAGCTCCACAGAGAAGACCGTACATTCTTCAAGGTAATCATTGGAAACTTTAAGGTTGGAGCAAGAAGAACGTCTGAAGAACGTCACATCGAGAATGAACAGGGTGAGCGGCTGTCTGAGTTTATCGTAGCCGCCAGGACCATTCATAGTAACTGGCAATTCCGGAAGCCCCACACTCAATGCTGGACGTGGTAGTCTGTCTCTCAGTTGAGGGTATCATAACGAAATAGGCCACATAACAGTAAATCGAAGGTTTTTTCTAACTGATGTTGCTATTTTCTAAAATTCTACACATGATCGGACCATTGCGTCTTTCGTGAAAGACTTCGTTGCCTATGGAGAGGAGAAAACGCCGCTAAATTCAAAAAACCAAGTCCCGAAACTAGCATAAACTGGGAATTGTTCAATTCTCTAGTCGGGTTTTGGGAAGATGCCGTTGTCGTTAACATCGACGAGGTATTCGATCGGCTCATTCGACATCTTCACGTTAGCGCTATGAAAGCTGAGAGTTCGAAAGTAACCAAGAGACGCTTGTCTCCAGAAACACTCGAGCTGATACGCCAACGTGGAATCACACGAGCTGCAGGCAACCGCCATCTGACGTCCGAACTTGCAAAACAATGCAGACAGGCAATAAAAGAAGATCTTAAAGAGAGAAGAGGCAGCAGTAATGGTCAAAGCTGCAGAGGCTGGGAAAAGCATTCGCAAAGCATACCGAAACTTCGCCAATTATAAAACCGAAATGATTGCACTCCGACGCTGTGGCGGAACAGCTGCAGATTCCAGTACGACAACAAGAAAATCAAATATGATTACTACTAGAATCTCTTCAACAGCCACATCCTCCTCCCTAATAAAGAAGGATGGATATGTCGCACAATCAGTTTTCCCTTCAGAAATCTAACATGCTATTTCGTCGATGAAGAATCGAGCAACACCACTCCGGATGGTATTAGATTTGAGCACTCGAAGAACCTTCCGCCAGTCCTAATAAACACACTTGCTCTGCTCTTCGAATGTTACCTATCTGAATGCAAGGTTCCTACTTCGTGGAAGAAGCAAGATCGTGCTATTGTTTATAGTAACTATTGCCAGAATGATTTCTATTTTCCACTATCGTTTGTTTCTTGTGTATAATAGCCATATTTACTGGTAATCACATGTACAAACTGCTGGTTAGTCTGCATCTCAGGTGCCTCTATCTACCATCACATGAACATTCTGTGTAAGCTTTAAACCGCTTATAAATGGAAATTCTGTAGAAGCTTTGAATAGCTATCTGATGAGTCATATGGTAACACAGCTTCCTGTATACCATCTTATCTGATGTACCTTTCCGCAAATACCATGTCTTGGTTTAAAGCAGTTCTGTCAGACTGTAGTTAAGAAAAAACATTCGAAAACCTCCCTTTGACAATTATCGCTGGTTTCTTCTATCAAAACTTCGCCCATTACCGAAATAAATATAAGGAGCATCATTAGTCATCGAGCGAGTGCCCCA